AACTTAACTTTATGAAAATGTGGCTCGGACACCTAGTTTCAACTTTGGCTTCCCCAAGAATGTAACCTTGGACCCCCAGCTTGGAGCTGATAGGGAATTCGGTTTATCTTTCTGTCTAATAGGGTAGGTAAAATGCTAGCTATAAATATTATGATAGGCTACAGAGCTACAAATACATGTGTAAAGAATATAGAAGTATAATAGAGGAATATAAAAAAAGGCAAAAGTCAATTTGGCATCAGCAATGGTGAGAGCTCGTGAATGAGAGTCTTCAATGAAAGGTGAATCACCAGAAAAAGTTACATATGTGGGGCAGTGAAAAGGAAGACTGTGAATTCAATTTCAAGGGGAAAAGTGTTAGAACTGCTTCCTGCAGAGAAATGGCAAACACCTACAAAAACTCAAAGACAAAAAAAAACCAACATTGCTAGAAAATCCAGAGATAGTTTCCTCTGACTACACACAAGGAAGCTTTGCTTCCAATTGACTTGCTGCTGTGCTTATCTCTCAGCAGTAAAATGCATTCACCCATCCCAAGCTCTCAAAAAACCCTAGTGCAGTAATAATTACAAAACCACAAGCTTATATCCTCTGAAGGACATTATGCGTATGATGAAAGCTGCAAGGAACCTTTGTCAGGCTGTGCCTAAAGAAAGAAGGGATGGGAAATGAAGTGCTTACAGATACAAGGGAATAGGAAAAAAACCCAAAAAACAAATACAGGGAAGGGACCAAAAAAGGAAGCAAAACAAAACCAGAGAAATGACTGTTCATCTGGGACTTGTTAAATGCTACATGGCAGGCAGGGAATGCTGATAGGTTGCTTCGTTGCATTTGGTACCACACTGTTCAATATTCCTGACTGATAACATGTTTCCTTATGTGAAGGAAAAAGCACCTTTAGTGTTGCTGAGGTGGCTGACTCGAACAACCCTAGTGCAGGTGAGAGAGCAGCAGCTGCTGGGCTTGCCAGCCTGCCAGCAGGACATCCTCTGGACTCCTGGCTTTTTTCTTCCCTCCCTCCCTCCTTAGCCAATCAGACTAAATGAAATGGAGCTATTTGTGGGTTTAGAAGTGGCAACAGTTCAGCCCACTCCATCCCCAGGTGCCAAAGGGTTGAAACAAGAGAAAACTCTTACAGAACATTTGTGCACTTTCCAACTGCCACACAAGCAGCCAAAGAAACAGCTCAAGCTATGATTCAACTTCTAAGCAGCCCCAGGAAAAGAGGTAGGAAACTACCCTTACTCTTTTTTTTTTTAAGTAAGGGAAGCCGATGTGAAACTTGGCATGGTCTGGACTTAAAAGAAACCCCAAAAGTTGTTGCGTTGCAGCCAGGCATTCAAGCCAGCAGAGCAGAGGTTCCCAATGCTGGTATTCTCTCATCCCCTGTCTCCCTCCCCACTCCGGGGCATCAGCAGCTGCACCCAGCAAGATCCTCTCCTGAATTCCCTCCCCTCCCATTCAGGATCGCATAACATCCCTGGGGCGATTGCTCACATGGAAAAGCAACATGAGGAAAGTATTTAATGCATGTTTATGTCTTTTAATATAGTGTAGCAGCTGGAATCAAAGGCAAAAACCCTAGGCCTCAGCACATGAGCATCGTGGCTCTCCACAGAGTCCCCTTCTAATCACTGCTGCTCTCTGGACCACAGCTTTAGAAATCAAGCACTAACCCCTATTGCCTAATTAGCAGAGCAGTGTAAAGCTTAGAAACAGGCATATCTTCTTCCTCCCTAAGTGGCCACTGAATAAATGCTATATCCCCAGTTCACAGTCCCTTTTTACATTGCTGGCATTACCAGTCCTTTGTGTACCCACATGCTGTTACTTAAATTGCTTCCATGTTTTCATTACTTGCTCTCTGTGCTGTGTGTATTGAAACTCCTGCAAGAATGCTGAAGTGGTATTTCAAAGCACTGGGGACTGCTGGAGATGTAGCTGGAAATATTATGCAACAAGCTAAGGGGATTTTTCAAGTCCTGATAGAGTTTGCACTTCCTCAGGGGAAAAATAAATTTGGGTGCTACTCCATGATGTGCAGGACAACCACTCCCACCCACCAGAGGCACAAGAATGGCACTCGCAGCTCAGTCTGTGTATATTCTCTGCATCCACAAGCAAGGTGGGTAAACCCAAATAATGCTCCCATGTGCAAGGGAAATGTGTACATTGGGCCAAACTCTCCTGGCAAAAATCCATAAAGGACAGTGGATTGATGCCAGCTGAAGGTCTGTCCCACTCTTTAAATGTGTTGTTCCCTCCTTCTGCTGCCAGGAGCTGCTTTTCTGGAGCTTGTGCTGATTAAAGCAACAGGCAATCAAAACAGCCTAACGCTGAAATTTCAAAACCGCCAAAACCATTTAAATGTGACAAATCACTTTTTTTTTTTCCCCACAACCATTACTGCAGCTCGCAATGGTTCTGCAAGTTAGAGCAGAGGGTTCCTGCATGCTCTGCTCTTCCAGGGAAGCACGCAGATAGACCAGAGAGCTACATATCCATGCAAATTTCAGCTTGCTGTTTCCTCCTGGTTATCTTTCCCCCTAAAATTTCTGTACCCACCACAAGATAGGTATTGGCCATAGAAGAAATCACTTTGCCAGCACCAGAACTTTTCTCCCCCTCACTCCCAGCCTTCCTTTCTGCAGTGCCTTTGATCCCCCCTTGATGCGAGGGGTTCACAGCCTGATCCTGGAACCCCACGAGCCGAGGGGCGGCCGTGTGTGCAATCCCCCAGGCTTCAGGGACGCAGGTTATTCCCCATCCTGGTGATGCGGGCTGCTGGTCTCCAGGCATCAGGCACACCCCTCGAGATCACAGCGCTGGGGTCTTCCAGACCCCTGCCGGGGACATCTCTGGCGCAGCTGCGGCTCAGCAGCTGCCGCGCGGCAGCCGTTGGGTGTTATGCTAATGGTGCACCGGGGCAGCAGCCTTCTCCCCATCTGCTCACAGCACCCACCTGCTGGGTGCTGAGGTTTTTTTTTGTTTGTTTTAATGGCCAGATTAGACCAGTGTTGACCCAAAGCGCTCCCAGCTTGAGAACAGGGTGTGTGTGAGCACAGCTCCAGCCAGCTCGGACCTCGCAGCGCAGGTGCAAGCTGGATGCAGCCGTGCCTGAGCTGTGGTCTGTTTCTTTCAAACTCCTTATCCTCCTGCAATAAAGTCATCACCCTGAGCATAACCATGCTACAAGGTGTTTTTTTTTAAACTATTGTTCCCACTGGGTTTGTTTGGTTTTTGTTTGGGGATTTTCTTGTGCATAACTTCCTTATGCTTAGCTTTATTTATTCAACCTTTTGGATGACCACACAGAAAAGAACACACCTTCCATGACCATCAGACTGGGTGATACATAAAAATGAGGGCTCTGATTCTGTGCAGTCATATTCTCCACCCCATGCATGGTAAGTAGGGGTTTGCTGTTCTTTTTTTCCCCTCTGCATTGCCAAGGAAGGATTGCTTGTGACATCTTTGCTGTCACTGAGCATAGTCTCATAAAACTGCTGTTCCCCTGAGACCTCTACAAACATTCAGGGAGGACAGGAAAGTGGAAATTAGACACTGCTTGGTGCTAAGAAGGCAGCTCATTCTTTTCAAAAAGTGGGAAAATCTCAAAGTGTTATAGGGCCAAACCTCTGCTGTGTTAAAAAGAGCTACCTCTTTCATGCCCATTGACTACATCATTTAAAAGATTAAGAGAAAAAAACATCCCCTTGAATTGGTTTTTTTTTAGTTTGTTTTCAAGTTCTGCTTGTAAGAAAAGTACTCCAAAAGTGAGTGATGTTAATCTCCCTGGGCTCTGCCTTGAATCAATGGGAAATATCAATGCTCAAAAAAATGATTTTGAGTCATGACAATTTTGGTGTATGTCTGTCTGCCAAGGAGGATTTCTGCAGGAAGAGGTGGAGGAGAATTTCTCCAGGCAGTTTGTCTCCTCAAGGCTTCACATAGCCCTTTGAGCACCCATCACATATGTAAGGTGTGGGAGAAGAAGGATCAAAGCTGGATGAGCAGGAAAACCAAGCCATGACCCAAGCCCTAATCAGAGGGTGCCTAAATCCCAGATTAATTTGTCCAGGGTTTGGAGACACTTGTGCATCTTTTATCAAATCTGGGTTATGTCTGAACTCATCATGAAACCTAAGGAGGCAGAGGTGAAGTATTTTTGCTATGACCTGACCAAACATACTTGGCAAATGCTTAGGACAGAAAATACCACTTATCCAAAAATCTGTGTCCCCAGCAGTGCTGCTTAATACGCTCAAACTAAATTTGGTCTATGTTCTAAGTGTGGGCGACACTACAGAAAAATCAAGCCAACATCAAATCGAAAGGGTGCTCCTGAAAACAGCTCATATAAAGAAAGGAATTTCTGTCTTTTCCCATCCTTGAATAAGTGAAAAAATAAAAAAAAAAGTTCAATTTTTACCCAGACTTAAAGTACCAAAAATTTCTCTGCAGAAGGATATTTCAAGAAAATGATATGCATCTGGAAGAAAATGAGACTTATAATGGAAGTATTTTCTGTAGCATAACTATAGTGCTACTCACACAATGCTGTAATCAAGAATAATGGAGCCCATCACCCAGAATACAGGAATGAATTCAATTGTTCACCATGCACATACCTCTATTTTAAAAATGCAGTTGAATGCCTTAACTGCCAAAAGGCTTGAGCATTAGTGCTCAGGCATAAAGCAGTTTAGAAGTGGGCTCCTTCATTTCTCACTCATGTAATCATTAATCTCAAAACTCAATTACATACAAAAATAGAAGAAGCCTGGTTGAACTTTTGATCTCTTCTGAATTGGTTCATCTGAAGGATAGTTCAAGATCATTCCCCATGCATACGTGGCAGTGCAGGATGATACTTGCCCTGTGCTGCTCCAAGGCCAAATCTTGCAAAGGCTGTGCCTTGGACACAAATTGTTTGAGAGGATCCATTCCTTCCCTCTCCCTCTGCTTCAGGAATTATATAAAAGAATGGGACCTACCTTCTTTTTGGAGTGTGATCTGTCCTCCTCTTTAGTTGTTTTGCTATTTTTCCCAGTTCTGGAAAGTTTCTGCTCCCCAGACTGCTTGATGGTGATTTTGATCTCGGGAGGGCAAATGTAGTTCTCCAAGTTCTTTGGGGGCTTCTTCGCTCTCTTGGTGGTCTGGATCTTTAGTTTTAAACTCCCCTCCGTGAAGTTAGCCTCCTTGATGGAAAACTCCTGCTCCTCCAGGCCATCTCCCGCCACCCATTTCTCGCTGTCCGCATTGGAAGTGGAATCCACGTCTCTCCCGGAACCCAGCTCGTCCTCTTCCTCAGGCTCCAGCCTCTCGCTGCTCACCGGGATCCCTTTCCCCGCTCCCGACGAAGACAGCATCGTCTCCCCTGCGCAGCCCGAGACTGGCGAGGCCTTCGTGGAGGTGACGGCAGCTGGCAGAAAGTCTGCCTCGCCTCCCCTTTGCCGGGAGCTGCTCAAAGTCTCTCTGGGCTCCATGGCAATATCGCAACGCCCTGGGGTTTGGTTGGAGGGAAGGGGAGCACGGAAGGGGACGAGGGAAGCAAGGGCAGATACGATCCCAGGGAGCGAATGGCAACTGTCCACCAAATTCAATGTCCCGGTCACCCAGAGGCTGCGAGATGCTCAGAAGAGACCAAATGTGCCACTGTGAAAAGAAAGGGGAAAAAAAAAAGTGGAAGTTAGCACATGCACACACATATCAAATCAGCGTGGAGATGTTTGAAACAGCGCACAGGGCATGCTCAGGCTTCCCTTGCAACATCTCAAGGGTTTTCCTTGGAGAAAGTGGGAACCAAGGCTCACCAGCATTTCTGAGGGCTGGATCTGACATCACAAAGTAATGAACAATTGCCATATCTATTGTTAAATTAATGACAATGGGTATATATTAAAAAAAAAAAAAAACAAACACCCAAAGTGTTGTCTCAATGCAAACATCTTCAACTCGACTTGTGCAATAAATGAGAGGACAGCGAGCTCTCCACACCCATGCACCTCCTCATTACCTCAACATGCTCACTGTCACAGGGTTTCCAGCAGGGGAAAAAAGTAAACTCAGATACTTGCCTTGGGTTAAACAATAACCCAGTGATCAGAGCACAGAAAACATGGTGCTGCCCTCTGAATCAGCAGCAGAGTTTCAAACTCTCTGTTTCCTCACTTCCCAGGTGAGAGAGACATGCCCTTGGCTGCCAGCTATTCTAAGGGTAATCCTGCTTTGGATGAGCAATTCATTAGAGAGCAATTGCAGCCCAAGATGCTCTATGGGATACTGGAATTGCAGGAGGATCCACCTTGGCTTCTTTAAGGGATGTCAGTGTCTCAAGCACTGAGGTGCATGAAGAAAAGCTAAACTCAAGGTTTTCCAGACTTCTTCATGCCCTCATTCCACTGTTTTGTGGAAGAGTCTTGGGCTGGATGATGCACAGACTGTGCTCTCAATCTTGCAAATTTTTAGAACATCAGAGATGGAACCCTTTGAGATGGAAACACTCCTGCTTGGTACCTTACAAAGCCTCAGTTAAAGGGAGAAGCTGTGGATGTTCAGTTGAGGCAAAAGTTCTATCACCCAAGGAATTCTTGATATAAGTAATACTTATGGGGTGTTTTAAAAGGCATTGAGGTACTTTCATGCACCCTCCCTAAAACTGCCCTATTGCCACCCCACACACACCCCTCATGGCGAGCCAATTTCGACCACAAAATTAGCAAAAGAATCCAAATAAAAGTGTAAGTCTACAAAATTAGTGGAGAGAAATAAATATATTTTCTGCAACTTTAGGAGAAACAACAAGTAACACTTCTGGCAAATGGAGAAAGAAGCAGGAAGGCATTGCCAGGAGTAGATGCTGGGAGCTCAGACTGGCTCTTTCAGGAGTAGCTCGCTGCTAAATTAGCTCAGCTACACTTGACCAACTGCCATCAAGATCTGAGCACAGCCAGGGATTTCCCAGGTCATTCTTGGCAGCGATATGCCACAGAGAAAAAAAAAAAAGTAAAAATTATCTTGCTGCCTATCACCAAATCAGAACAAGAGTGCCAGTGTACACTGCTGTAAAGCACAGCTCACCTGGAAGAAACAGATGTCCTTGTACCACTGGCTTCTTTTTGCATTCTAAAGGTACCTTTCAGGGGCTTGAAATTCAACAAGAAGTAATGAAAAATGCCTTTTATTAATTATAGATACACATTTTCACTGGAGTGTGGCTGTCTGTCACTTTTCTGACCTGGGCATGTATGGCTACTAGTGGAAAGTCCTAAGTGTCCTATAACTCCATGAAATCCCTTGGGGACCAGGTCTCAGCAGACACAAATTCAAATAAAGTTCCCATAAATAGCACAAGCTGACAGCCCAAGCAGAAAGAAAAAAAAAAAAAGAAGAAAAAAACCCCCAAACTTGGACTTGCCATCTGGCCTTAGGGATGGTTTGTGTAGCTTACAGGAGATGGAAAGGCACCACAAAAACACTTATACTTGAGTTGCACATCTCCTGGCAATAGTGGAGAGACTCATTTCCCAGAGCTGATCCTCCTGTGAGATGATCTTGAGGAACTGACAGCTCCGAGGTCTCATGTATGCCTGCCCTGACTCACCCTGTGGTCAGCCAGTCCCTCCAGTTCACCTCTGGGAAACAAGGATCGCACTTACATCCTTCAAACCCATTGCAGAGTGGGTTAGTTAATGAATGCCCTTACAAAATGCCATGCATTTTGAACCCAAACCATGTGGTAGTTGCTAATTACTAACACAATTAGTACATGAAAGCTACCCCAGTTGCAAGGAGCTGCTCCACCTAATTGACTGACTTTGCACTTTGCCTCTCCTTGTGCTCATGGAGGTGATGGGAGTCAGAGACACCTTCCAATCAAGAAAAAGAAAAAAAAAAAAAAGGTCTTATTTATCTGCCGTTTTACATTGTTAATCTACGCGGAGAGGGACACAATGTACACACTCTCCAGGGCTGCAACACAAACACAAGGTGGTAAAAGCTCGGCGGTGCAGCATTCCAGGGAGTTACCGCTCTGGTATGCACGCATGTACAATGGGCACTGTGTGCCGGCCTCCGCCCACGGGCTTTTAACCTCTCTCGCTGCTGGCTGCCGAGAGCAGGCTCTGGAGCAGCTCAGCTGGATGAGCCCGCAGCCACCAAGGGTGCAGGGAAGGCACAGCTGGAATTGCCTTTGTGAGCCAGCCCTCCTGAGACCCTCACCTGTACGGGAGCTTCAATGCAGCTCCTGGACAGGAAGATCATTCAGGGTTTGAGCCATTGGGTAATGTTTTAGGGAGGGTGAATAAAAAGCCAGGTTTCTGGTTGTGGGACCCAAACTCTGGATCATAATGTCCAAGTACTCATCCCTGCTTGGCCGTGTGCCTTCAGCTCAGCATAAACAAGCAACAGATAAATAAAGCCATAGCGTTGCACCCGTGTCAGATGAATTCATGCCAAATCCACCTTAAAACCCAACTTAAAAATATTGGCCTCCTGTTCTGCCAAGAGTCTGCAGATGATATCACCAGACCCACAGGTAGCAACAAATAACCCTGTGCTTAAGTGCTGCGCCCAGAATTAACTGGGTCATTGTTCTAGATATCTCCTTACTCTCCTTCAGGGTTAATAGTTAAATGACTTGGGTGCAGGGACATCATACTCGTCTTTCTAGTTTGGGCAGGCTACCTGTGCTTTGACTAATTAGAAACCTCACTTCAGGCCTCTGAATGTGTAACCTCTACTGGAAGCCTCCCACACTTCCAGGGATGGGGCAGCCATCAGGCAGGGCTTTACCACCCTCACAGGGAAGAATTTCTTCCCAACATCCAATTTAAACTAACTCTCTGTTGGTTTAAAGCCATTCCTTCTTGTCCTGTTGCTGGAAGAGCTCTATTTCTATTTTAAATACCCAGGACATGAGGTATGTCTGAACTTCTAAGCGCTGACCCAGGCTGTCGTTCCAGGCCTCCAGTGCTCACCAGCATCAAGTCCTGTTCAATAAGCAGCTACAGAGGCATTTTACGATCCAAATTAAGCTCGCTGAGGAAAGTGTTACTGCTAGCAGGCTTCCTGCAGTCAAGTTAAATTTGAGGAGGATAATTCACAGGTGAATGACAATAAATTTCACAGAAGTTGGCATTAGCTCTTAATTAGGGAGAGATTCACACTTCCTCTGATAAGTACTGAGAAATAATCAAACGCCTGCTTGCTCAGCCTTGTTACCAGTGCTCAAGTTTCTTATCAGCTCCTCTGGGCACCTCAAACACTCTTATCGAGGCAAAGACCTTCAAGTGCAAAACCCCCATGTGGGTCATACTGGATGTCTGCTATTAGGGGTTCTGAATATGCTCCCTTCTTCTGTCTCAGGCAACCTGGTGCTTGTGAGTATTCAGATGCCCCAGCTATAAGGTGATTAAAGTGAAATTTTGCAGAGGACAAAAACAGAGGTGAGAGCCAATAGGAGGGAGGGAAAATCCACCCTCTTGGGGTTTTCTGTGAATTGAAAGTGGACATAATACTTGGCACAGCTTTTGCCTTAAGCTTGGACTCAGTGATCTTGGAGGTGGTTCTATGGTTGTGTGATTCTAAGTGGGACAGCAACCACATTAGGAGCAAGCAAACACTGTTTTGACACAGGCAAGCAGGGCAGGCTCAGCTGCCCAGGGTTGCTGCAGTCCCTCTGAACTGCTCAAGCACTAGGAACACCAGCAGGGAAGTGGGAGCAATGTTAAGAGGTGCTGTCCAAATTCCTTCTACACTAATACCACTGTAACTGCTGAGACTGCTTTAATTTCGTTCATAAAATCCAAAGTGAATGGGTGAAAAGGAAAAAAGTCTTTTAACAGGTTCGAGTCATTGGAAACTAAAGCACAAGTCTGAGGCTTATGGGGGATGCAGAGGGGAGGTCACAACTTTTCAAACTCTGTGCCTATCAGGTTGCCTTTGGATTTTCCATTCTTCCATTGGACCTCGCATTAAATCCCTAATCTCTGCAAAATATCAGGAATCACGGAACCTTCTTTACATTCCATCCTCCTAAAACCATTCACCACAAAGCACTGGAGACTATGCAGCAGTGTTTAATGATGAGATTTCACCTTTCACTCCAAAGACTCCCAGGTTGCTTCCATGGTCATGGATGACACTGTGGAAATGCAGCTGCCTCTGGGCCAGAAGCCAGTGGACAACCCATGTTGCAGCCAAGGGCAAGTTTTGGTGAGAAACCTGCTTTTATGAGCAGTGTCTGTGAAACTTCAGAATTTGTCATGGGTCTTAAAAACCCAAAATGCCAGCGTGTGACAAGCTGTACTCAACCCAGTTAACGCATACTGGAGTACAAAAATGGCCCCAGCCTCTTCCTTCATTATTGTTTTGCAAAAAGAAATTGGAATTTCATGCTTGGTTGTGGTCTCTGTCCATGCACTGCCAGATAGCCAGCAGCATGACTTTGATGCTGCTCAGGAACAGGCTTCTCATCACACTTCTGTGGAATGGGCAAGCACACAACATGAGGCTTAAAATTTCCTTTGTGGTGACTTAAAGTCAGTTCCAGAGGATGGGAAAATTTGTAAGCCATAACGCCTGAGTGGTGCAGACAAGTGACATAACATGATACAATACAAAGTCTTCTGGGACAAAATTAAATCACTGCAATTTTTTTTTTTTTGAGCAAATTTG